TACTATCTAATTCGTGTAATTTAGTACGATTTGCTTATCCCCCAATGACGGTTGGGGTTAGGGGTGGGGTCAGGTGCCACGCCTCCTTTTTAAAATCGTACCATTTCGTACGACTGATCTTGTACGAATTCGTACGAATTAGCCACTAAACTGGCAAAACGTAAAATACTTACGTTTTCTCGTGAGATCAGGCTGGTTTTTCTCAGTCGCTTTGCTGCATTTCTCACTACACTATTTACATTTGCACAACAGTTGATGCATTTCTCAAAACAATTAAGTCATTTGTGCACATCCTAGTAGCAGTTTCTCATTCCTTTCAACAAATTGCAAATACTTTTGGACATGCATCAATTGCTTTCATACAACTCTCTGCTGTTTTTATCATCTGCTTATGTCATGCCAGTCAAAATGAACTAAACTTGTGAATGCTGAATAGTCATTCTATATAAAACTAATAATCTTTATTTCAATATTTGAGCGTATAATAATATTTGAATGTATAATAATAATATTTTACATTCACTTCCTGAATGTATAAGTGGCTCAAACTCGCTCATTTTGAGGCAGGAACCGGCGGACGTGCAACAACTTTAACTATGAGGTAAACACAAAACAAAACTTTCCATCCGGAGCTCCTTCACGGGACTCCACACTTGTAAACAATCGCTCGCGCCATTAACACGGCTCTCGGTCCCGCCCCGACTCGTCAGCGCTACCAAGCCGACCAATCACAGAGCTTGCTCTACGCGTTGTTGCGACGTGTAGTTACATTTTTTGAGAGGTGCACGTCAGTGACGGCGACGGCCACGGCGAAGGACTATGCGTCAGCGCTGTAGCATACGCCGGCGTTTGACGCAGAAGTATGAATCAGCCTTTAGTTCCAATTTGTTCTGCAATATTGTGTACAGTTGTGCACAGCTCTACCTAAAGGGAGTTCATGTTTGTTGTAAATAAGGGTGTGTTTATTCTTTTGCACAATGCTGGGAATAAATGAGAGTTGCAAAGAGCATCTGCAGTAAAAATGTGAAACATACATATTCAGTGTCTTGTACTCAGATACCTCACTCAATGCAGTGATGTCTAACTTTACTGTAGTTTTCAAATAGCTGTGCAAATAGTCTTGAGCATTTTCAGGAAGTGTCACCAAAATCAGACTTTTTTGCATTGAAAAAATGTAGAGAGTAAACTGTCATAATGAAAACATGACAAAGCCATTTGACTATCTTGTTCATAAACAAAGGTGTCAGGACTTTTCATTTTGATGACACTGACACTTTGATTGACATCAATACTTGCTTTTGAGAAATGAGCTATCCATTTTGAGCATGTGACGTGCTTTTGCAGGTTATCAGCTTGGTTTTGCAGTTTGTACTAATTGTTTTGAGAAATGCATCAAATGTTGTGCAAAAATGCACTAGTGTTGTGAGAAACGCACCAAGGCGACTGAGAAAAACTGTAAAATCATTTGGGTAATGTGTACCTCTTGACAATTTTAGATACTAATATGTACATTTGAGGTGCCAATATGGATCCTTTAGGTACAAATGTGTACCTCTTGACTATTTCAGGTACTAATATGGATTCTTTAGGTACAAACATGTACCTCTAGATAATTTTAGGTACTAATTTAAGCTAACAATATGAACCATTTAGGTACAAATGAGTAAAAAAGTCTGTCATATACAGTACACGGCGAGCCACTGGACACACTGGCAACACCGGAAAAGCCATCAGTACAGATTTAAGCGGTACCTCTGGCTACATAATTCGCGCTCTCCATAAATGTAGAGAGGGGTACTTATCCAGATTGAGCTTGTGCTTTAACATTGTGCATGCTAATTATTGAATATGTGTCTAATATGCATGCTAATATTCAACCTGGTAATATTGAGAATTGATCCTCAAGCTAACGTGTTACCAATATGATCATAGTTATGTGAATCAAATGTTAACATGTGACCTCCAGTGGCTTTAAGTGGTTCAGATGACGGTTCCAGGCGATGAGAGTTCCTCTCTTGCTGACACTGACGTACCGCATTGGTGGAGACCGAGTCAATGCCAACACACGCACAATAGCTTCTTGCTGATGTGATAAATGAGCAATTTCATCATTTGAGTAGTAGAATAGGAGTGAAAAAATTATATTTAATTTTTAAAAATGCGTAATGACAGTGTGGTGGCTTCATAAGATGAACACAAGGCTAAGAAGTAAATGAAAAGATGTTAGCCATCACCTTGTTATAGGTACACTTGCGTATTAAAGGATGTGAGATGGGTAGATTCTGACAGGGCTGCATCGACTGTGTGATGTGCTTATAATGCTGCAGCATGAAGGTCTGGAAGGTTTGCCATTCGACACGGCCATCACAAGAGATGCTCATCTGTACAAAAAATCAATGGAAGAAATGTTTTCTCTGGTCATATATAGGCATAGCCCTTCCCTGATGGTCTAGGAATGAATGAATATATAGAGTAAAGGCAACTGGCCTCATTGAAAAAATCCTCCACGTCACTTCTCTGGTAGTCTTGGCCTGTCGCTTCTTTCAGACAGCAAAAGTAATCCTCAAAGCTCATGGAGTTAGCTGAGACTCGCTCAGACGCTCGGACTCTTCTGCTGGGATCAGATCTTTGCCTGAAGAAGGACTCCATAAAGAGGCTCAGATGATTCGACTGCAGAGACTCCAACAGACGAACACTCCGGCCAGCAAAACTAGACAGCAGAGAGGAAATATGAGCGGGAATATGGCGTGAAATAAACAAGTTTTGACTTGCCATCACTTCAAGCAATTTTCACTTTTTACACAATTATGACATAATTATACTTTATATATATATTTTATAATTATATTTTTGTCTATTATGCTTTTTAATCTCATGATTTTGCATATTTGTCTAATTATTGTAACTTTTAATGTCATAATTATCATTTTTGACAGTTTTAACTTGCCATAAATAAGTCCAAATTATGTATTCTTGTAATGTTCACTCTTTACATAATTATGCCAGGGTTTTTTTGTCGATTATGATTTTTTAATTTAATAATTTTGTATGTTTTCGTCTAATTATTGTAACTTTTAATGTCATAATTATCATTTTTTGACAGTTTTGACACGCCATAAGTAAGTCCAAATTATGCCTTCTTGTAATGTTCACTTTTTACATAATTATGAAATTTTTTTGTGAATTATGATTTTTTATCACATGATTTTGTATGTTTTTCTCAAATAATTGTAACAGTTAATGCCATAATTACTAATTTTTGACAGTTTTGACTTGCCATAAATAAGGTGGTATTAAAATGAGGAAAAGAGAGACAGTATAAGAATATATTACAATAAATAGTGCAAGTGAAAGAAAGTGTGTGTGTATGTGTGTGTGTTACTTGTGTGAAAGACAGGCAGGCAGTGACACCCTGTGGAAAAAACTCCAACTGCAGTTAATTTTTGCATCTGTATCCCTAGCTGTTTCCAGCCACCTATATTTTAGGTATATTGTGGAATATTGCATAAAAAATGTTTAATGGAAACGACATGATGCACGTTCATTTTTAAAACGCACAACTGAGTAGGATAAACTTTTTATCCGATAGGAAAATATGCAATGCAATGGTTCTCCACAGTAGGTAATGACCTAAAAATAGTATTTGCTCTGATAAAGTTTTGGACAAGGAAAAAAAATACTTTTTAATAAAGTATAAAAAAATTCTAATAGATTTTAATTACATTTTTTTTCTAATATACTAAAAAAATCTATTTATTTCCATTTTGAAGTCAAACTGACAGTACATGCATCCAGTTAAATGCTATTTTTTAAATAATATTGTCAAGATTCATGGGTGACTTAATAAAAAAAGCTACATTCATACTATTAACGTCTTAAAAATAGATAAAAAAGTAGAAAAATAGATTCTTGAAATCACACACACACACACACACACACACACACACACACACACACACACACACACACACACACACACACACACACACACTCACTTAAATATGCATACATCTATATATTGCTATGGTAAAATTAATAAAGCACTTAAAAAAATTTGCGCTGGAAAAAGTTCACTGGAATTATTCGGCATGGTTTTGAGTAAAACTTAATATTTATTTTATTCAATAAAGGTCTGATCACATTTCTTCTAAATTTTAAACAAAAATGTTGTAATTTAGAGCATTTCTTTCTATGTCTTTCTATATTTTTTCTTTTTTCCCCCTTATTTCAGAAAATGTCAATTGATCAAAATAACCAATAAAAAATACAATTTATTTAAACATATAATATATACAGTCGAAGTCAGAATTATTAGCCCTTAAATTATTATTTTTCCCCCAATTTCTGTTTAACGGACAGATTAAAACACATTTCTAAACACAATAGTTTTACTAACTAATTTCTAATAACTGATTTATTTTATCTTTGCCACGATGACAGTAAATAATATTAGACTAGATATTTTTCAAGACACTTCTATATAGCTTAAAGTGACATTTAAAGGCTTAACTAGGTTAATTAGGTTAACTAAGCAGGTTAAAATAATTAGGCGATGGTTTGTTTTGTAGACTATCAGAAAAAAAAATAGCTTGAAGGGGCTAATAATTTGACCTTAAAGTGGATTTTAAAAAATGTAAAACTGCTTTTATTCTAGCCGAAATAAAACAAATTAGACTTTCTCTGGAAGAAAAAATATTATCAGACATACTGTGAAAATTCCTTGCTCTGTTAAACACCATTTGGGAAAAAAAATTCATAAAAAATAAATAAATTTAAAAGGAGGCTAATAATTCTGATTTCAACTATATATATATATATATATATATATATATATATATATATATATATATATATATATATATATATATATACATATATATACATACATACATACATACATACATATAATATAATATAATATGAATATATTATAATTAACAAACCTGTTCTTGTAACAGTATTTAATAGACAGTGTCATTCATTCAATTGTGCAGCAATTTCAATGAAATTCTCTAGCAATTAAGCTTTTATAATTAACCACTGAAACATTCTCTTGTTGCCATGAGTATCTGACAACAAGCCTAAACAAGCTTTAAAAGGTAAACTTGTTATATTTAACTGAACATTACATTAATCACAGCAGGCACATCCAAAGGAGCAACATATAAACGTGTATTATGCCTTAGTTTTGGCAAAAGTATGTCTAAATGCATCTGTATGTATTATTGTAGCATCTATATCAGCCCATCCAGGATTTTTGCTAGTCAAGTCGTTATTGAGATTAAAAAAAAGACAAATTTGACAAGATTTTTTTTGTGTGTATATCAGAGAAAAGCCATAAAAACATGAGTTATTTTAGTCTGCAGATGTATACAGTATATACCCATCTGTGGACTGTGTGTGAGTAGATAGATATATAGATAGATAGATAGATAGATAGATAGATAGATAGATAGATAGATAGATAGATAGATAGATAGATAGACAGATAGATAGATAGATAGATAGATAGATAGATAGACTTACTGATAAGTACTGCTAGGTTTTTCCTCCTTATAGACCTTCCATAGGTCCTTATGTCGTTTCTGATTGTCCATAGCCTACCTAATAATAACAATAATAATGTTTAGAGCAGAGCAGGTAAAGATCTTCTAAAAAGAAAACAAAAAAGCTTGGCCAAAAATATTTGTCTTATATTTTGTTCAGTGTGTTGATCTTCCTCCAGCCTCCCACAGTTTAAAAGCAGCAGACAGATGCTCAGTTATAGATTAATCCTCTATTAGTTACCAGGACAATATCTTACAACAGAATACCGAAGGGTTGCTTACTTAATACGTTACTGAACACATTTTCATCAACAATGTTTATCTGTTTGTTATCATAAGTTCATTCTGTTCATCATTAATTGTCAAAATAATTTCTTATTATAAGGTAATAAAACGTTTTCGTTTACAGTTTGTAGGTGGATGTACGTTATGAGGGAAAATACCCAATCTGAAATCATACACTGATAAACAACTGTCGTTAACTGTCGATAAAGGTCTGACAGATACATTTAAAAAACAAACAAAATTGTTTACGTTAATGTAAACACTCGATACACAGTTTTTAAATTCTGTTGTGTGAAATAAATACACAATAGTGAAAGACACAAACCGTTGTTGCTTTGTTAACCTGACAGAAAGTCGGGGCTCATCATATTTACAGTAGCTCGTGCTCTCGAATTTGATTGGCTGAGCGCTGTTCATGAACTTCTGTCCGAAATATAGTGATTTAGACAAACAAAAAGTATTTTTGGGACTGAAACTGATTTGAAAAAAATAAAAAATAAAAAATAACGTTGATTCACGCTATTGTTAGCTTTTTTTTGCGATAACTTTAGTTCGACCTATTTAAAATGACTTTAAAAACACTTACTAAAATCACACAATGTATGTTATACAATTCGAATAAAATAAATGTAAATAAACAATTATTAAAATTATAATTTGTATATTAAACAAAGTATATTTTTCACGTTGCATATGCGTCATAAAACTACATATCCCATAGTTCTGCTTTTTCCAACCGGAAGTCATTTCACTTCCTGGATACTTTAAACTGTCATTCGAAACAATAATAAAGACAGAACCGTTCTGTCACAAACCGGGACATAATAAAATAATGCGTTTTAACGGCTGAACGAGAGGTTAGTTATCATTTTATCAGTCTTTATTTAAAGTAAGCCGAGTGCTAAATTAACTCTATGCGCTAACTCGATTTTAACTCTGCAAAAAACATTACTTTGCTTTATTCCTTGACACTCTGACCACAAATGAGGCACATTATTAATATACATTCATTCTTATTTTTGTTTAATAATTATGTATTCTGTGTGAATACTATAGTAGCCTAGTAGTTGATGCCTCATCTTGACTCAATATGATATAAAGAGGACAATGAATAAGGTACAAATTTGATAGTTCTATTATATATTGTGGTAAAGTTATATTTACATATTCAGACTTTCTCCTTAATATAATTTCAGAAAAGTATTCTTTGCAAATACTAAATACTGACATCATATAAGCAACAAATGACTTATCAAAGTCCAACATTGTTCACACTCATATAAATTGTGTTATTGATGTAAATAATACACAAACAAATTGTGTAAATAATAATGTTGTTTTTAAGTCCTAGCCTGCTTGCATGTATTTTCAGACCGAATATTCAAAGTACCATGGTAAACAAAGTAGAGAGCAGGTGTTACAAGTAGACATGGGACGAGAACCGTTTTCAAGGTATACCGTGGTTTGGAAAAGTCAAGGTTTTAAAACCGCCAAAATTTTCTGCTATATCGTTCCTGTGGTATGTGTACGATTTTTTATTTATGTTTTTTTGACAACAGTTTCTCCCGCAGAAAAGCTATCCAAAGATGCCGTTTTAAACTGTAAAGAAATCTGTGTTTTTAAAAGAAGAGCAAAAGGCAATGATTTATTTGAATTATTTAGCACATTATTATGAGATGTTTACTGCTCCAAAATATTTTAAATATGGCAACCATAAATCCTCATATCTGAATATAAAGTGTGGCATACCACAAGGATCAGTTTTAGGTCCAATATTGTTTATAATTTACATGTGTAAGATATCAGAGTTGTTTAAGTTTATTTTATTTGCAGATGATACAAGCATTTTTTTGTTCTGGGCATAATTTACCAAAACTTATGGAGTTGATTAAAACAGAAATTAATAAATTGAAATTGTGGTTTGACGTAAACAAATTGTCATTAAATATAAGTGAAACAAAGGTTACAGTATGTTATTTGGGAAATTTAAAAAGTAGTTATATTATAGCATTACAAATTGATAATGAAGTTATAAAAAGAGTAAATGCAATTAAGTTTCTTGGTGTTGTATTGGATTTTAAAATTAGTTAAAAACCACAAATAAATAATCTGATATCAAAATTAGTCAAAACTGTAGCAATAGTGTATAAAGCAAGATTTATCCAGGACAATAAATTAATGTATATATTATAAAACACACTTATGTTGCCATACATGAGTTATTGTGTTGAAATTTGGGGGAATACAAATAAATCTAATTTACAATCCATATGTACAATGCAGACAAAAGTCATTCGATTAATAGAACATGTCGGGTATTTAGAACATATAAATCCTTTATTTTTAAAATCTAAGATACTTAAGTTCAATGATTTGGTTAAGTTTAAAACAGCACAATTTATGTTTAAAGCTAGGAATAAACTACTTCCGAAATGTATACAAAAGTTTTTTGAAGAACGACTAGGGGGGTATAATCTAAGAGAGGAACTAAATTTTAGGAGGTTGAAAACGAACAACTTTACAAATGTGTGTATGTCTGTATATGGTGTGAAACTATGGAACAGTCTAGATCAGACCCCTAAAACAACGTCAGGATATTAATCAATTTAAAAAACTGTATAAATATATTTTAATAAAGGAATATAATGATGAAGGTGATTGAAAAAGGATAAAAATAGAAAGGTTTGATGAAAATTTAATTAATGGCTATTTGCAGTACTATGTTGTTGTTGTTGTTTTCTTTTCCTCTATTTTCAGTACTATGTATTTTATTTTTATTTTTTCTTTGGGTCTGTGTTACAAAATGAAAAGGTACAAATAGAATCAAACATATAATTTGTCAAAGATGCCAAAAGGATCAAATATGTCTCATGTAAAAAGAAGAGATAAGTTAAAGAATAAATAAGTTTAAGTAATAAACGAATGATGTATGTGGTAATGGGGTGGGAGAATAATAAGCTTGTGCTTCATCCCGCTCTATTTTCGACCATGTTGAAATGTGTTTCTTTTTGTTAATGATATTTTATGTATGATAGTTTTGTTCGAAAATAAATAAATCAAATCAAAATAAAATATATTGTGCTCAAAGGGGAAAAAAGTTTTTGTTTTTTACCCAGATATTTAGTGTTAGTGTAGAAGCTGCAGGTGGGATGGAGGACTTCAGGAGGTCGTACCTGCGGCTGTGTAAGGAGGGAGGAGTCGACACTCAGGAATCAGTGCTGGCTCAGCTGCACGACACCAGGACAGTGACAGGCAGCAGTCGGCTGGATCTGAGCGGTCAGAGCATCACTGTGGACACATGCAGCGTGCTGGCCAGAGTCCTGCAGAACGACACCGTCTTCACTGAGATCATCCTCAGCGACTGCATGCTCAGTGAGGAAGGTAGGTTCTAGTGCTGTGTAACATCGATCTTTTGTTTTAGGGCATACTTATTACAATGGGGTGACATGGTGGCTCAGCACTATCGCCTCACAGCAAGAAGGTGGTTTGAGTCCCGGCTGGACCAGTTGGCATTTCTGTGTTTGCATGTGGTCCTCATGTTGGTGCTCGGGTTTCCCCCACAGTCCAAACACATGCGGTTCATGTGAATTGGGTTAACAAAATTGGCCCTAGTGTATGAGTGTGTGTCTGAATGAGTGGGTATGGGTGTTTCCCAGTACAAGCTTGTGTTTGGAAGGGTAAAAAAAATGCCGGAATAGTTGGCAGTTCATTCCGCTGTGGCGACCCCTGAAAAATCTGGGACTAAGCCGAAGGAAAATGAATGAATGACTACAATGATAATTGCATGCCACATTGCTTTAGACCAGGCGTGCCCAAACCCATATTTTGTGTTTTCATGCTTGGTGTAATTTTTTTTTTGTTCATGTTTTGGTAAGAAAAAAGCTGTTTCAGTCTTCTGTTTTTTTACTTTTGTTACTTTTTTGCAGTTTTTCCTGCAAGTACTTTTGTTTGGTTAACATTTATAAGTGCTCACTGTTTCTGCATCTACAGGTGTTAAAATGCTACTGAATGGCCTTTGCTCCAACACCACAGTGAAAGTTTTGGATCTGAAGGTCAGTTTCAAATGACATACTGTACATTAATATATGCATACTGTATCCTGTTCTTTTCTTTTCTTTTTTTAGCTTTGATTTATTTATTTTTTTCTTCAGGGCAACAATATGAGAGGAACGGGAGCTGAAGCTTTGGGACAGTTATTAGTGAGGAATAAGGTGCTGCGCAGGTGAGTGAATATGAAATTTGGTAGAACTACTGTTGATGTTTTTGGCAATTATTACATGACTAACATTTGGAAAAAAAATAGAAAGTGCAAATTTAAGGTTTTTAAACCCCCCTCCCAGAAAAGCTATCCAAAGATGCCGTTTTAAACTGTAAAGAAATCTGTTTTTAAAACAAGATCAAAAGGTAATGATTTATTTGAATTATTTAGCACATTATTATGACATGTTTACTGCTCAAATATTTTAAATATGGCAACCATAAATCCTCATATCTGAATGTAAAGTGTGGCATACCACAAGCATCAGTTTTAGGTCCAATATTGTTTATAATTTACATGTGTAAGATATCAGAGTTGTTTAAGTTTATTTTATTTGCAGATGATACAAACATTTTTTTGTTCTGGGCATAATTTACCAAAACTTATGGAGTTGATTAAAACAGAAATTAATAAATTGAAATTGTGGTTTGACGTAAACAAATTGTCATTAAATATATGTAAAACAAAGGTTATGTTATTTGGGAAATTAAAAAATAGTTATATTATAGATTTACAAATTGATAATGAAGTTATAGAAAGAGTAAATGCAATTACATACACACACACACACACACACACAAATACAGATGATGGTAAAATTATTAGTCTTCCTATACAATATTAATTTTCAAATACCTCTTAAGTGATATCTAACAGATTAAGGACATTTTCACAGCATGTCTGATAATATTTTTTCTTCTGGAGAAAGTCTTATTTGTTTTATTTCTGCTAGAATTAAAGCAGTTTTATTAAACTATTATAATTACCATATTTTACAGAAGAAAACAATAGTAGATATTAGGGATGTAACGGTATCAGAATTTCACGGTACGATAATACCTCGGTATGAATGGCATGGTACGGTGTTTATTGAATAATTTACAGGAAAAACAAAACCAATTAAAAGAATCGAAAAAAGTGCCAAAAGTGTTTATTTACCTTAGCACTGAACATATCAATGACATACAAATTAGCCATCTATCTGTAAGTTTCCAAACAGGAACTTCAATTTTTCAATTTTAATAACAAAAAACTATTAAACCATCTAATAAAAATAAAGTTTCAATTTATTATTGTTGAAAACTCATCACATTCAACATTTAATATCTCACTCACTTAGATAGAGATGGGTTTTTTAAGGACAATTATCATATAACTATAATCTAAAAGCTGGTATCTCTGGGCATGTCCCCTGCAACAGAAAAACCCCTCTCATTTGGGACTGAGGTTTCTGGGACAGAGAGATATGATTTAGCCAAGGTTGACAGCAGTGGGTAACGCTGTGCATTGTCTTTCCACCACTTGAGAGGACAAACCATGAGTGAGATAGAGGTCTCTTTACGGTACAAGTCAATGTCTGCATCAATCTAACAAGTGTGCTGTGTTCTGCAGTCCCCATGACTGTTATTAGTCGTATTCCCCGACTTATATTTCACCACAGTCCGGCAGTGCCTGCATATTGTTTTTGTCTTTGTCCGTCACCTTTTCTCCTTTTTCGTATCTTTTTAGAAAGAAACCGAAATGCTTCCACACATCCGATTTAAAACCCGCTTTAGGTTCCATCATTTCCAGCTCTTTTTCTTCCCCGCTACTAGCAGCACACTCCATTTCTGCATTACTGGATCTGTAGCGCCAACAGACCGCAAAGGATGATGGCCACGTCTAGGCTGATGGGAATTGTAGTTCCCGCTACCTAAAGCAAACTTTTCTCAGAAATATAGTTTCATTGAGTCATGCGCCTACGGTAATATTGAAAAAAATTACTATTGCGGTATGACGGTGTTTACAATATTGTTACATCCCTTGTAGATAATAGTTACATAAAAATGCAAATAAAAAGCTGTCAGCCTTTCAATTGTTATTTTTAAATTATTATTATTTTATTTTGTTATTATTATTTATTATTATTATTAGTTATTATTATTTTAATATGTTATATTGAAGACACAGCACGTTGATTTTATGGCACCAGGTTAAACTTTCTGACACCTTTATGGCGCTCGCGTACATTAAAAAGAAATACAAGCCACAACTGAACATGGAGGATGGTCTCCGGTTGGCGTTCTTTAAAATTAAATGATGAATTAACTTGGGCCTATTGGTATGTGTGTGCAGGTGTTTAAGGTTTATATATTTATAACCACCTTAGAGAATATTGAGGGTCGTGAGTTACTAGCATTGTAATTTTGGGGGTCGCGGGCTGAAAAGTTTTCACAGAAATTAGGGAAGGAAAAAAAACATCAAATTTAACAGGAGGGCTATAATTCATTATGTAAATACAAGCTTTTATTTTGGATGCGATTTAATCACGGGTAATCTTTTGACTTATAAATAAATGAGTAAACCGTCTAAATTGTTTTATGTCGTCTGTTTGCCAAAATCAATTGAGTTTCCAAGGTCTTTCGTGATTAACTGCAGATTTCAGACGATTGTTTCTGTTGTGTTTGGAGGCTGGTGCTGGAGTGGAATGCTCTGGGAATGTGGGAGGAAGGATTTGCTGTATTTTGTGAAGGTCTGGCCTCCAGCACCTCTCTCACCCAGCTTGACCTGCGCAATAATCAAATCAACCACCAGGGGGCAGCAGAGCTCTGCGTAGCGCTCAAGAGGAACTCAAATCTGCAAGAGCTGGGTGAGGAGCTACTTCCACACTTTTTAATTAGCTGCCAATAACGACACTGGGGGTTTCAGATAAATGATTGTTCAAAGTCCAGAGCAATAAGATTCTGATATGTTTGTGTGCAGATCTCCGGTGGAACAACATGGGTCTGCTGGGCGGTCGATCTCTGCTGGAGGCGATGCAGCAGAACCGCACACTCACCAAACTGGAGCTGGCTGGAAACAACATTCCCAGTGACACACTCAGAGCCATCGGTGAGGACGAGTCCCAGCTTCAGCTGTCATATGCAGTTGAAGTCAGAATTATTATCCCTCCTGAATTATTAGCCCCTCTGTTTATTTCTTTCCCCAATTTCTGTTTAACTTAGAGCAGATTTCTTCAACATTTCTACACATAATAGCTTTAATAACTCATTTCTAATAACTGATTTATTTTATCTTTGCCATAATGAATAATATTTGACTAGATATTTTTCAAGCTACTAGAATTCAGCTTAAAGTGACTTTTAACTAGAGTAATTAGGCAAGTCATTGTATAACAGTGGTTTGCTTTGTAGACAACTGAAACCAAATATTGCTTATGAGGCTAATGATATTGACCTTAAAATGCTTTTAAAAAATAACTTGCTCTGTTAAACATATAAATATAAATAAAAGGAAATAAAATTCACAGGAGGGCAAAAAACTGTGTAACTGACTTTAACTGTATATTTAAAGCGAGGCACAGCAGTTCAGTAGGGTAAAATAGTAGTAATCACCGTCTTTCCCCAGTCAATTATCATACATTGAAACAGTTGTTTTGTAATACAAGATTCCTAATGTTACACTGTAAAAAAAAAAAAAACTGGTCAAATTTACAGCAAAATAAATTATTTAAATGTTTAAATTTTACGGTAAATTACCATATTTAATTAATGCCTTTGTCATACACTGTAAAAAAAACCCATAACATTTATGGTAAAAAAATGGCTCTGTGGTTGCCGAAATTTAACTTAAAAATACTGTTTCTCAAAGACATTTGTCAAATTCACAAATCTTTCAATTTTACTGTAAATTACTGTATTTCATCTATTTTTATGTCATACACTGTAAAAAAAACAAAACATTAAATTTATGGTAAAAATGGCATCTGTGGTTACCAGAATTTAATCGTTAAAAATATGGTTTCTCAAAGAAATTTGTCAAATTTATGGTAAAATTTACAAATGTTAATATTTTTTTTTGTAAATTACTGTGTTTCATAGATGTTTATGTCATTTACTTTAAAAAAGAAAAAAGAAAAAGAAAATTGATGGTAAAAAATGCCAGCCACGTTTGCCGGAATTTAATCGTTAAAAATACATTAACAAAAAAAAATTGTCAAATTTATGGTAAAATTCAGAAATGTTTAAAAGTTACAGTAAATTAACGTATTTCATTCATTTTTGTCCTAAATCTGTAACATTTACGTGCAAAAAAAGCATTTTGATTGCCAGAAGTTGACTGTTAAAAATATGGTTCCTCAAAGAAATTTGTCAAATTTACAGTACAATTTAGAAATGTTTAAATTTTACAGTAAATTACCGTATTTCATACATTTTTATGTCATACATTGTAAAAAAAAATAGTGAAAAAGTATGGTTAAAATAGCATATGTGGTTGCCAGATTTTAACTGATAAAAATACGGTTTCTCAAAGAAATTTGTCAAATTTACGGTCAAATTTAGAAATGTTTAAATTTTACGCTAAATTACAGTACTTTAGAAATGTTTATGTCATATACTGTAAAAAAAAAAAACATACAATTTATGGTTAAAACGGCAGCTGTGGTTGCTGGAATTGAACTTATAAATATAGTTTCTCAAAGAAATTTGTAAAATCAAATGTTTTTATGGTAAATTGCCATATTTCATTAATTTTTATGTCATGCACTATAAAAAAACCCCCAGAACATTTACAGTACAAATGTGTACGAGTAAATGGGTAATTAGTGGTTAAACTTACATTTTTGGGTGAACTATCCATTAAACACAAATTCTCTCATATATATGAATGTGTGTTACTTTTCCAGAACAGTCCATGAATCACAACGTCGACAGGCAGTCCACACTTCGAGAGAGCAAAAGCAGGACTCAAGTGCTCAGCAAAGAGATCCAGCTATTAAAGGATGAGAAAAGCCGACAGGTGAGGATTTCTGGGATAATTCACTTACACTGTGTGGATTGACTGCTAACATTCATTCTCTCCATATGAAGTATCTCAGTCTGATGGAGACCATTGACAGACAGAAAGGCGAGATGGGAAGAAGCAGCAGGT